TAGAAGCAGCAGCAACTGCTATTAAAAAGAAAAAAAAAATGAAGGCAAATGCCATGGAACATGTATGGACAAGCAGTCTGGAGGGCAATATCCCATTCTAGAAGGTCACTTTAAATTATCCTAAACGTAGCGAGTATAGTTCTTCTAGGCTTTCAGGAGAAGGCCACATCAGCAGGATAAGTCATTTTAGTTGGATGCTTGCGGGGCTAGTTAAGTCAGGCTTAGCTGTGCTGACATCTTGAAAACTTTGCAACCATTTGCACAGAATGCGGATCTATTTTAGTCATCTTTGTTTATTCTGTGCTGTTTGCACAAGGTCTCCCTCAGCCAAGATTCATGGCTATGCTGGATACTATTTCAAACTATGCTAGTTTATAATAAGATTCTAAAATGACCTGGACAAGAAAATTATGTGGAAATTTGGTTGACAAAAGAGCGTTTGAATCATCTGTAATTAAACAGTTTAAGAATTTGCACCTTTTTTTTCCTACAAAAATCCAATGACATCTTAAAATACAAAACAGATTAGAATAAAAAAAAGTGATTTGCTTTTATCACCCAGCGTTTTTGAGACATTCAAGCCTTCTGGTATAGCAACATAACTAGACACGGGCCGTTGCTTTGCAATTAGCTAGAGAAGAAAATAACACAAAGTTGTAATCCTCACAGAGGTGCGTACGGCCATCAGACCTCTACAGCTGGCAGTTCACCAAAATGGATCCTTTTGTATTAGAAAATTAGAAACGTTTTGGGTAAATAACACATTTCTCATATTTTTACAGAATTCAGTACGAGAGAATTTAAATATACCTCCTTTAAAGCAAATAATACCATCTCTGAGCTTAAAAAAGGAAACTTTTATATTATAAAAAGGCTGGGTCATTTTAGTTGTACAAAATTACTGGCTCGCCAAGACATTTCTGGCCACTCATATACAGGTCTCAGGCCTCATGAAAGATGCTCTGTGAGCATCTCACCGTCACTGTGCTTCCCCCTGCAAAAAGGTGTTTTTAGTATATTTTTCAGACTTCGACCGGGTCTTGGGCCAAGGTACTCCACGTATAAGCCACGCTTACTCAGAGAGCATGGAAGTCTGGACAAGTAACACAGCGTGATCAAACTTACTTTACAAAAGAAACGAATCCAAGGGAAATAAAAAAATTTAACATCGATCTTATCCAGATATTTACTATCCTTAGCCACAACTAAGATAGGAATCATTTCCTCTGAATACCGCAGACCATCCTTCACCACCTCTCTCTCAGACAACTGGCCCCTTGTCTGAGAGAGCATCCCCACTGAAGTACTTGATGTTGTTTGTTGTTCTTCCTTCTTGAACTCTGGCTCTTCTTGTCAAAATAAGCTTTGTAGATGGAGGAGACTGAACTGGAGATAAAGTCATACAAGCTAACAGATCTCTCATTGTCTTTTAACAACTCCTATGTATCTGCAGAGGATGGAAAATCTTGTAATATTTTTCTTTTATGCTTACTTCCTGCCGTGAAAATTCCCAATTATCTGATCTATCCATAGAGCAAGCAGTCAGCCCAACACACAACAGTCAAACTGTTACACAGCAACTCCAAATCATAACAGATGCTGCCACGGGTATTACATATTAGAAATAATACTTATGAAGTCACAACCAAAGACTTAAGGTTTCTGTTCCTTGCTAGGAATACTTGTAAGTCATAATATTTCCCTTATTAATTACAGTGGCCACGCTATCGAATTTTACAATGCTCAAAATCATCAGATTTTGACAGCAAGGCCAAACCTGAAAAATCCACTTTAGGAAAAATGATAGAACATCTAGCAAAAAATCATTCAATACCACTGAGGCAGGTATATATACAAATTATGGGAACCGTGGGTACGAACAGTATCTGCCACTTAACCTAATAAGCAGCAAAAAAAATTCTAAAAACAAAACAAAAACCAACCTTAGAGATATACAGTCCATTGTATATGAAATCTTCAGGTCATTATGACTTGAGAAAAACCTGCTCAGTCAATCAAAATGAAGGACAGAAAAATAATCAAGCAACATAGTTTAGAAAAAGTTAGGCTTTTAAGAAAATAAACAGCTTATTTTATTTGCTATTTTCTGTGGTGCTGCTAATAGCAGAGGGAAAGAAGAGTTTAAGTGACAATAACATCGCTTTGTCATTGTATAAGCATTAATTGTGACAACAAGATGAACTGAAGTTTGTATTTAAAGTAGCAATTTAAACTGTACGCTATATATATATATAAAAAAAAAGTATCCATCCACAAATGATCGTACTTTGAATACCAAGTAAAATTTCTAAGAATTTCAAAGTAAACACTTGAATTTAAGTACTTTTAATTTAGAAATTAAAAGTAACACTTTCGGAATTAAAGTAAGAACTTCAGGTTCTAGAGTCAGACTTTCTGACCTCCTGATGACCTTGGCATAACAGGGTAATTCAAATTTCCCAGACAGTTAACACTAACAGAAAACCTGTCTATTTGAATATGTATTTTTAACTCTATCTATAACAGTTACAACAGAATACCTTGTGCCCTCGCCATCAGCAGAAATTTTAATTCAATTCAGTTCTGACACATACAGGTATAAACAAATTAGTCTGTAAAAAAAGTTCACTTTAACCCAAATCCAAATGATTGAAGTCTTTACATCAATCATGTTATTTTTGAACAACGTCATTACTGGACTGTAAGAATCCTAAGAGCACATTTCTGCCTCTGAGTATCTTTTATAATTACAATTTTATTCTGTTAAATTTGATCTTAACTCTGAACTTCTGGATTTACAATATTTGGTGTGAAGACAATTACAATAACTTTGTGATATACTTTGCTCCAAAACTGTGACAAGTACTCCCAAACACCACATCATTCAAATGGGCTCTGGTGTATCTCTCTAACGCACCTATCTATGCTAACAAGAATCAGGTAGGCATATGGAAGCATTCTGGGAATACAGCATGTTTGGACATTTTTTTTTCATGTTTGGATTTTTTTTCCCCCCAGGCTGAAAAACTGCAAGTTCTCCAGCTCCCTTGTTTCCCCATGGCTTCGGAGTCACAGGCAGAAATATGCTTTGAGGCTCCAACTCTCGGAAATAAC